AGGCGGAGGCGGCGGCGGCGGCGGCGGAGGCGCGCACCCGACGCCGGTAGCGGAGGAGGGCATCCGCACGCTGCCCTGCCACCTGTGCAGGAGCAAGGAGATCGTCGCGCCCGCCATGTACTGCTCGGACTGCGACTTCTACATGTCGCGGTTCAAACCGAAGCCGTGAGGGGGCGCCACCGTCCGCAAGATGGCGTCTCGCCGAAAGCGTGGGCGGGCGCCACCGGTGGAATCGCCACAAGATGGCGTCTCGCCTAAAGCGTGAGGGGGCGCCGCCGGTGGAATCGCCACATGATGGCGTCTCGCCGTGCCGGCAGATGGCCAGCGGGGGAGTGTTTTATACGACAGTATTATGTAGTGGACTGAGAGGTGCAGGGGGGGGGGAAGCTAGTTAACGTTAAGAGTTAATTAGAGAGCGAGTAACAGACCTAGTTAACGCATCCGTGGCCGTGACTCGCGCGGATGTCGTCGCGCCGCTGATGCATTATGGGGAATTCGTCGGAAATTTCGGCGGTTGTATCTTGGTGGCGTGCCGGCCGACGCCTGTTGTTAGTTGGTTCCTCAGAATAGCTGTGCAGGTGTAGCAAGAGAAATGGTAGTTACACAGCGGTATATGTTTGTTTAACTCGAGCGTTGTTAAGTGGCCGTCCAAGCTTGTTGAAATGTGTAAGAGAGAAACTTTAATTTTCGTTGTCATTCTTCTCGTGACTTGTGCGGATTATGTATATGCGGGGTCTGATCACAGACACACTTTGAACGTTTCAAGAAAAAAAGAAAAATGTAAACACGAAATGTTTTTACTGCCAAAGTCTTCATGTTTCGCTACTCTATTTCGCTTATTATTGCCGATAATTACCCGTAAATGCCGGTCAAATGCTTTACTCTCTTATTCATGTTGTTTGTGCACAGGGCGTGCGTGCGGTGTACTTGTGTGTTGCAGATGAGCATTTGACCGGCATTTACGGGTAATTATCGGCAATAATAGGCGAAATAGCGTAGAGAAACATTAAGACTTTGGTAGTAAATACATTTCGTGTTTACATTTTTCTTTTTTTCTTGAGACGTTCCAAGTGCCTGTGGGTCTGATGAGGTGGTAGTGGTGTCGTCATTGTTGTTTGTGTCGCGTGGGCTCTCATTTGAAATCCATCCAGTCGTTTTATCGTTACTATGAGAGAAACCCTTTCCGTCCTCTCTGTGTGTTTATCATGGTCAGGTCAGTGTGTGACTGCATCATGCATGCAAGCCTTTCATGGGTCCGTCCGACCGACGCGCGATACTACAGATGTAAGATGTGAGAGATGCGTGCGTGGATGTCGTGCGTTTTCTCGTGTGTAGTTTATTGGTGCAGTGCGTCCGTCCATCCATCTACGCCGCATCCTCGGTTTCCTGGGTGACATCCTCATCCTCAGCCTCCTGATGTCGTCCTTATGCTCAGCCTTGACACTGTCCGTCCGTTCACACTTGTGGTTTACACCGTCCGTCCGTGCAGCAGCTGAAGTAGCAGCAGCAGCAGCAGCAGCAGCAGCAGCAGCAGTAGCAGCAGCAGTAGCAGTAGCAGCAGCAGTAGCAGTAGCAGTAGCAGCAGCAGCCAGCAGCAGCAGCAGGTAGCAGTAGCAGCAGCAGTAGCAGTAGCAGCAGCAGCATAGCAGTAGCAGCAGTAGCGTAGCAGCAGCAGTAGCAGCAGCAGTAGTAAGCAGCAGTAGCAGTAGCAGCAGGCAGCAGCAGCAGCAGCAGTAGCAGCAGCAGCAGCAGCAGGCAGTAGCAGTAGCAGCAGCAGCAGTAGCAGCATCCCTCGGTGTGTGGGGCTTCATATACTACTGACGAGATCTGAGAGGTTAGTTATCTGTAGATAGCAGAAGAGGTTTTCCAGCCGAAAAACACTCACGACCGCCAACAACACGTTTCCGCCCAGTAGCAATTAACCGATTAATTAGGTTCGTGAATTAGTTAGAGTCGGAAGAATATAGTGAGCGGATAATTAGATGTTGTCCTTCACTGAGTGTGGTCGTTGCTATGGTGATAATCCAGCAGCAAGCCAATCTACCTATATATCCGGCTGGCGTTGATTGACAGGTAGCTGTAGCCAATCAGCATTGCGATAGTGACGTTCTAAAAGAGATGTGCTTAGTGAGGAAATTATGCAAGTCATTGCTCTATATATAATAATGTTATATATATATATATATATATATATATGTATATATATATATATATATATATGTATATATATATATATATATATATGCATATATTGTTATTACCTATACGTCAGGAATACGTGTGTAGACACATGTCCCGCGTACCTGCGTGAGCTTCACTTATAAAACACTGAGATAGTAATAATACTATACTGTATGTAATAAAAACTAGTAGTGATAGGCCAGGGAATATGTCGGTGACATCCGCCCAAGATGTGATTCCATCCAGATTTCTGATAGCATAACGAGAAGTGTGAGTGTAACTTGTGCTGCCTGTTCGTGTCAAATGTGTTGTTAGCTAAGACTGGAGTATGTTGATCGTTGTTACGTGTGTAGAAATGACTTTTGTTTTGTAGCGGGGGAATCTAGCGCAGACGAGCGATATATATGCGCTTATGTGTATATAAAAATATAGCTATATATTCTGGTATGCTAGATCAGCGACAAGAAAATATATGAACGTATTTTCGCTGTGACGTAGATTCTATTTGATTGTCTAATTGAGAAAGATGACTATAAATATATACGAAATGATCTCGTGTTATTTTTATCGGAGGTTTTCCCGTTTGTTCTATAATATCCAGTATCGGGGGGAAACTGTTGATTGTATTTATGTACGTATGTAAATTCGGTCGGTTTAAAACGTGGGACGTCGAATATATATATAACGACTGCATTGTAGAATCACCCGAATTATATACCGAACAAACTTTTACATCGAATTTGTACATCTTGTAATCTTGTAAAACCCTTTTTTATTTTAATCGAAAATACATTACGATATGAATACAATGTGAACACTTTTTATTTCGTTATTTTCTTGTATAATTCGTTATGTGTATACATATATAGCGCACGAGAAAGAGAGAAACTGGCGAGAGAAGATACAGAGAGAGAGAGAGCAGAGTGTGTGTGACACCACTCTCACACACACACATGCACAACACCACACACACACACACACACACACACACACACACACACACACAACACACACACACATATATATGGAAAGCATATCTGTACAAAAAGATAAAAGCATCTCTCTCACGAACG